TCGATGCTTCTGTGTCTCTTGTTCTATTTTTGTTCATTAATGAGGTACCATCTCACTCCTGTCAGAATGGCTAGCATCAACAAATCAACAAACGACAAGTGCTAGAGAGGATGCGGAGAAAAAGGAACCCTCCTTCACTGCTGTTGGAAATGCAGACTGGTGCAGCCACTGTGGAGAACAGTATGGCGTTTCCTCAAAAAATTAAAAATGGAACTCCCATTTGACCCAGTAATCCCTCTTCTAGGAATGTATCCCAAGAAAACAGAAACAGCAATCAGAAATGATATATGCACCCCTATGTTCATAGCAGCACAATTTACAATAGCTAAGATTTGGAAACAGCCTAATTGCCCAACAGCAGACCAATGGATTAGAAAACTGTGGTACATCTACACAATGGAATACTATGCTGCTGTAAAAAAGAAGGAATTCTTGCCATTTGCAACAGCATGGTTGGAACTGGAGAGCATTATGCTAAGTGAAATAAGCCAGTCAGAGAAAGATAAATATGACATGATCTCACTCATTTATGGAATATAATGAACAACATAAATTTAAATTCTTTATTGCTTAATGTATTACATAAGTCTCCTTTTAAGAGAAAGATCTTTCTGGACCCCATATGCTCTAAATATTATGAGTATACATATACTTACACTTCATTTTTAAGTTTTTTTCTCCCTGTAAATTAAATTTGACAGAATTTTAAACAAAATCTAAAAATCCATTTGATATTTTTCATTACACCTTAGCAAAGATGACAAGCAGTGCTGACATTTTATTATGAAGAAGATACATTGGCTTTCAATTTAAGATAAGAAATCATAAAATGTGTTGTCATGCTAAGTGACAAGACATTTAAAGTGTTGCTGACAAAAATAAAATAGAAGACTGAGTGTGAATAGAAAGGTTAAGATAAAAGGATAGAAAAAAAACTGTGTTGCTAAGTAATATAAGAAGCTATTTTGTACAGAGATACAATTTAATTTAGATGCAAACCTACAATACAGAAGAACCCTTAGTAAATTTTTATGTTAAATATTTTAATTGTACAATCAACATCAGAGACACCTCTCTGAACATGAACTACGTCCTATGAAACAGAACTATTTATCATTAAATAAAATTCTTCAAGCACTTATTTACTTGTAAAAGACTTATGAAGCAAAACTCTGTTAATGTACTAGTGAAGATTCTACCAAATGCTGTAACAAAGAAATGGCATCATTGCAGTTGTTTTAAACAATAGCACCTATGTAGCAGGTTAGTATGGGTGCTCCTGCCAGATGGGTAGATTTCCTTCACATGGTGGGTGACCCGGGCTCTGGTTTTCCATTTTATGGCGCTCCCTTCCCTGGGCATCGGAGTCCTCTGCATTTGGCTAGCAGCTTAGTAAAGAAGGATGAAGGTATATCTGTATCTTAATCATCTTTCCCCAAAGGGACACTTACCAGTTCTCTTCAGATTCCATTAGTTAGAACCATGTCCCTACTCAGATGCAAGGGGAGCTGGGGAATGTGGTCCTCGCTGCCTCTGTGCTTCCCAGCAGCAGTTCTACATGAGTGGGAACGTGAGTCCCGGTAGCCAGTTAGATGACCTGCCGTAGTTTATCCCTATAGCCAAGGATGACAACCGTGTTACCCTTTCTCCTACACACGTGTTTGCTTCAACTCAAGGGAAACAACCCAGAGTCTCTTCCTGTCCTTACATCCAGTCCAAAGTCCAACATCTCCCTCGGGTCCCGCTGTGGGCTCTTTGCAGCCTCCTGACCTGAGCACTGAAGTTCAAGTCAACAGCCCCCTGCTCCACCTCCCCTCCCCGCCTGTCCGAGCACAAATCCAATACACCGCGGTGAAGCGGGGGCAGGAGGGTGGCAGTTAAGGTTCCCGTTAGAATAGTGGTGAAGTGGGAAGTGCATCGGGATAACTGTCAGCGACAGCAGTGGAATCCTGCCATGGCAGGCACTGTGAGGACACCCTGGCCATGTTCATGTTCACTTGATTGAAGAACTCCTTTGTCCTGATTCTCCTTGACCCTTTGCGCTACCTACAGTGAGAGCTTCTTCCTTGACCTATTATCATCCGTGGCTACGTCATGTCAAGGACGATGACCACTTTCTGCTGGTGCCATTGGGGAACCTGGAAGCCATTTTACAAGACATACTTAAGGCTACATTTGGGGTTCATTTGCCAGTACAGTTCTTTTGAAACAGTGGATTTAGAAACACTAGCAATAATAGATCTGTGATATATAGGAATAAGTCGTATCTGTGAACCTGTTTGCTGCATGTGCCAGTGTTTATAACTTTATCAGTCAGGGACTGTCCAGAAAAACGAGACAATTCCAGGTCTTTCCAATGGAGAAAATTTAACACAGGAATTAGCTACACAGGTGATAGAATGGAGAAGGCAATCAAATGATGGTGAATAAACTCAGACACTAATGAAATCAGAAAACTGCTGTACCCCCTAGGGATAGACGGGCAATAGGAGGAAGTAATATTACCAGATATTACCTGAGCTCTTAGCTCTGATAAGAAGAGCATGTGAGCTCTTTGAGGGACTGAGCCATTTATATTTTTTTCATCTTTGTGTGTCTCCACATCATGAGCACTTGAATGTTTGTTTATATTTGAACAGAGTTAAGTAGCAAATCCTTCCACTGACTTCATTTAGAATTACCCATCAGAGAGCTGAAATGTGGCAGAAATTATGGCATTCAGTCCTGGGATGATCCTTCATTAGTGGTTCAGCTGCAATTAGTTACTTTGGGACCTTGTTTAGTTAACCCATCATTGGCATTTAGAGAGTGAGAAATTGTCAGAAGTTTTAATTTAAATATTCTCTTCCTGTAAAAGACTTTTAGAGTTTGGAACAAAACCAACTTTTGTATAAACATAGAAAAGAGAATTACAAAGAAATAAATTCTCATGTCAAAATGCTTTGAAAGGACGGAAGGAAGGAGAGAGAGAGAGAGAGAGAGAGAGAGATGCGTAGATCCACTGTTGACACATTCATTGGTTGATTCTTATATGTGCCCTGACCGGGGATCAAACCCACAACCTTGGCGTATCAGGACGCCGCTTTAAGCTACTGACCTACCCAGCCAGGGCTCACATTACAACATTTTATTGCACTTTCAAAGCACTTTCATGACCTTTCCTGGGAGACAGCGTATTTGCATCGGCTTTGAGATATGCAAACGCAGCGACATGATTGAGAAAAAAGGAAAGGAAAGCTTTCTGGAATGGCTGGGGCAATAGCAGCGATAGCTCCAGAGGATATCTAGGTCTTATTCTTTGATCCTTTTTAGGACTCATCTTCTAAATGATAATGCTATCCCTTTGTCTACTGGTTTGAGCCAAAAAGTTTCAACTTACTTTCATTTGCTATTATTTAAGAAGGAATCTGTAAAATATTACATCGGATATTTTAGCAGTCAAAAGAAGAACTTATTCTAGAATATGATCATAATTTTTCAAAACATCACAATTGCCATTTAATCTGTTCTTGGATGTGCCTTTATATGTTCAAGGGTACAAATATGCTGGATTCAATTTAGCTGTGGCTTTTAGAACAGGCTTAAGAAAAGTCTCAAAATAGTAGGTACATTTAACAACTTGGAAGTTGAGAATAGTTTGAGAAGCTTTTTGGACTGTGTTGCCTTTCCTAGAGAGAAAAAGAGCCTCGCTGGAAGTTTTCTCAGTGAATATTCCACTTATACATAGAAATGAAGATTTTTTTTAATTTGGCAGAGCATGTCAAATTCAACTGTCAGGTTGTACTTCAGCACCATAGAACCATACCTGAGCATGTTAGAATTCTTCCATTTACACAGAAATTTCAGGCTTACTTACTTTTCGCATTGGTTTAAAGTAGGAATTATTTAAAATACAGTGCACTGCATGTCATGTCATTATTGTTTTCTTTCAGAAGTTAGTGTTCCCATTTTAAAATACCCCTGAAGGCTTGGGTTTGGGCTGTGTCTAAATAGTGTCATGACTGACTGAAAAGGGGAAAAGGCATTGTTTAATCTGTTCGGCACCTAACATCTGAAGAGGAAGTTTTTCTTTCTTGGGGTGGCTCTGTGGACCTCTGGTGTTGTGAAATAATCACGTGGTTTGGCAGTTTTACCAAAAATAATTACTTTGTTTTAGTCATTATAACATCATCTTTATAGTTTTGAAAACATGTAGTCAGGGGGGAAAAATTCCTCTTTGATATTGACCTAGAGCAGAAAATGTGCTATGCTCAGTCTCTTCTACCTCTAATTGAGTTGATTTTCTTTAATACTGTTTCACAGTGAAAATATTAAAACACGAGGAGTATTTTTGCTGCTTAAAATAATTGGTTTTTCTTTTTTAAGCATGCTATCTGTAATTTCAAAGCATATTTCTTTCTGAACTACTTTGCCCTGAGGAATTTAGAGTGTTCTTGAAATTATAGGTGTCTATTAAGTATTTTTCAACTGTCAATTCAACTGTTGTCATTGTGCTATTAATTCATTATAAAGTGATACAGGAAGAAAAGTTGTGTTTTGTTTTTTTAAATCCTCACCTGAGGATATGTTTTTATTGATTTTTAGAAAGAGATGAAGGGGAGAGAGATAGAGAGAAACACCAATATGAGAGAGAGAAACATCAATTGACCAGCTCCATTATGCACCCCAACCTAGGATGGAACCCACAAACTAGTAATGTGCCCTGACCAGGATTTGAACCAGCAACCTTTTGGTGTAGGGGATGACGCTCCAACCATTTGAGCCACCTGGCCAGGACAAGAAGAAAACTTATGTGATAATATGAAAACACATATTTGTCCAAAAGATAAATGAGTCTGTGTTGAACCTATCTGCTATGGTGTGAGTGAAATGGTGTATTAGGCAGGTTTTGGCATGGCACCTGCTTTTCAAACAGAAAAACGTACAGAAAAGATTTCAGTTCCAACTCTTAGACACTTTGTATTATGCACTTAAATGTTTTCTTTTTTTGTCTCCTACAGGTGATATTGTACCCAACTTCCAATAGCTCCAAGTCAGCAGAGTTCCACCAAATGATAGTTCCAAAAAATAGCCAGGATTCTGACTTAAAAATCAAATTGGCAGTGCGAATGGATAAACCGCCACATATGAAACATAGTGGGTGAGTGTATGCTTGATTTTTTTTTTCTGTTGAATTATTGGATTTCATTTCAGTGTATCACTTTTGAAAATTTACTGAGAGAGCCAGGATATCAGGCTTTTACATGGATTTACCCACCCCCAAATGACATACGTAGGTTAACTTAATTTTTTAAACCTGTGGACACCTTCAGAGACAAGTATATATGGTTATTTGTTAATATAACTGTTTGCATTGCTAAGATAATATTGGCACTTGATTGCATTGGTATTACACATCACTTATATTGATAAAGAACAGTGATATATGGAGATAATGTCTAGGTAATACTTCTCAAGATACAATACTAGTTGAGACAAGCTTCACATTCACGTCCCCAGGAATAAACTTACATAGAATATACTAAACCTAAAATGTGGTTCAGGTTTAACTCAGGAGGCTGTATACATTTTGATAGGTGAGATCCAATGTGGGATTGAAAAACTCAATCCATGGAGGAAACAGAAGTGCGGGGACTGCCTCCTGGGGTTGCCATGGGGCAGAGTCATCTCGGCCAGGGCTCGTGTCCCCTTGTTGCTGGTGAGGTAACAAGGCTGAACTCATGAGTGCAACAGAACGGATTTTTAAAAAACCCAGATCTTTCTCAGGTTCACACTTCAGGACTCAGTACAACCAAATCCCAACATAGGGGTGTTAGCCATTAGGAAGGAATGTGACCATTTTTCTTAAATGGGTGGGCAGTGTATGTAGAAGCAGAACTAATCTCATGGAGGGCAGCAGTAACCTGGGTAGCTCCCATTATGGCCTCTTTAATGTAGTAATGCAAAGTAAAGACTGCGGCTCAGCTCATAATGCAGTTGGAATTCCTGGGATTTAATATTTAGGATTCTCTCACTCACCCATCTGCCTGCTCACCAGTGATGGATACAGCAATGTGTCTTGAGCACTTACTCTGTTGAAACCAGAACAGACCTCAGTGAGGTAGCAGGCGAGGCCTAAAAGAACTGGCTTGTCAGGGATTCAAGCTCATCTATAAGTAATTCTCACACTGAGTCATAAGTGCTGTCAGGGAGGACTGAGAACTGGGAGACATCTGTGTGGGTCCAGCTGCAGTTAGTCCTGAAAGTCTCCTAAGACAGCTGACCTTTGAGATGAACTCTGACGTATTAATTCAGCAGGTGGGCAGTGGGGAGGAAGGGCATTCCAGTCACATGACAGAGCATGTATATGGGCAGGAGTTGCGGATGATAATGTCACATGACAGAGCATGTATATGGGCAGGAGTTGCGGATGACAATGTCACATGACAGAGCATGTATATGGGCAGGAGTTGCGGATGATAATGTCACATGACAGAGCATGTATATGGGCAGGAGTTGCGGATGACAATGTCACATGACAGATCATGTACGTGGGCAGGAGTTGCAGATGATAATGACAAGTTTGGTGCAACTTTAAGATTAGGGAGTTTGAGTACTACTCTAAAGTGATGTAGCATAATTAAGAATATTATAATTTTCTTAATATTCTTAATTATAGTTTATAATGGTCATTCACAAATTATTTAATACCAGTGTTGGGCATAATGATAATGATCAACCAAATTGAAAGCTTCCAGCATTGCTGTAATAGGGTTTATCCCTGTCGGAGGGGACAGTATAGCGCTTCACCGCCAGTTCAGGTCTCTCAGTGCCTGGGTAGAAAGTTTTAAATATCACCCTTGTGTACAGCTGTATATGAGAAAACATAACTTGACCTACATATAACTGTATTCATATTTTCCTGAGGTGCTTCATAAATAGATTTCACTGAACTTAATTACATTTAAGAAGAGAAACTTAACTATAATCTTTTTTCCCAAGTGCTCTATCACATGCCGAAGCAATAATTGAATAGGAGCACATAGTAGATTAATAGCACTGTGCTTTCAGACTGAATTGTAGTCTGTCAATAATTCATCTTATAATGAATAATTAACAGATGAATAATGAATAATTGAAAAAGAGACAACTCAAGTTAAAATTAATATATCTTTAAAATACGGCAAACTCTTACAGATAGAGTTATCAAGTAGATTAAATAGGAGGGTTATGGGCCTTTATCTTCAGAGTGTTTTCAGAAGTAGCCTTTGAAATCCTTTTGGGCTTTAGTCATGAAACCAATTTTCTGTTTTAATATGGCGGGCACATGTATATCTTTCTCATGTGAACGGTTTTAACACTTATTCTATGTTTCACTCATTTGTCACATGTGGCCTATTGTCCCTAATAAATGTTTTTATCAGTGTTATCTATATTTTTATATGTGTTCCCAGGTAGAGGCTGAGCTTCTCAGACCTGTCTGAGCCCCAGTGCCTCCATAGTGTGCGATCAGGGACAGATGTGAATAATGATGGTGAACATGAAAGCAGTGTGCTCTGTAAAGTTTTCAGGGAAAAGTAGTGGGATGGAAGTAAGCTGAAACTGAAAGGGTTCTAAGCATAATTTATACAGAATAGAGTATAAATTTAATGTGAAAAATGCCTAAGATAAGTGAAATAAGTGGTGTTTGGCTCTCAACTGTTTACATTCTAACATGACCTGTTTTTGAAGCAGAAAAAAATATATATCTGGTTTAAATCTCATGTTTCTGATAATTAATCAGTCCGTGACTGTGTACATTATAGTTTATAAAAATAGAATTAACTACCATGCAAATGAAAATAAATATTTAATTTGGATAAAATAAGCATAATTATGATTTCATTATTTTAAAATCTAATTAGACATTACCACAAGACATATTTGGTAAAATACATTTTTAAAAGCGTTCATTTATTCTTTTGGAGTATGTCATATAAAGTAATTATATAAACTAACTCCTATAAATCTGTTAAATGAATTACCAGCTAGATTTTGAATGGTTAAATAATTCATATCCAGCTTTTGAATTAATTTGCCTGCTTTCTTAGGTAGCTGGAAGACAGCCGTGTTCTTGAACAAATGGGCTATCCTTTAGCATAGCCTAGTGGCTAAGTAACAGTATTAACTTAAATCTCAGAAATACTATCCCCGTTTTTATTAAATAACATTTTCCTAATTCAAATGATATTTTCTAAACCAAAAGAAAGGCAAAACACAATGGAACTAATAAAACAAATGACCGTTAGGACAATTAAATCTGCATTTGAAAAGGAGGAAGAAAATTAAATTGGCCATCACAAATATGTGGAGGCATTTTGACCAGGACCGATCAGAAATCTGCAAGCAACTGGTTATCTTATAGTTAAAAATGGAATGAAAATTTCATGACTATAGAACTATAGAATACTTATGCAGTTAAGAATTGGTAAGATAAAATTGTAGTTTTATCACTGTCATATGAATTTCCTTTCTATGTAGACCCATAAACATGTTAAATTAATAGAAGTATTGAAATACTTTGAAATTGTCATATATGAAGTCTCCGTTTAATTTACATCACAAGGGTATAAAAGGCACTGGGCCCACCTCTAGCTGTAGGGGAGGGACAGCAGTTCAGCTCCCGACAGGGAGGACTGGGCCAGCACCAAGTAGGCTGCATTTCTGTATCCTGCTCTCCCAGAGAGAGGGCCAACCAGGCACTTCCGGCGGGGCTGCCATGCCCACGGAAACTTGTAGTCACATACTTCAAATTCAGACATGGCATTTGTTCATAAAGTGAAATCACTGCACTCTAATAAAGTTGCAGTGTTTTATTTCTGATTTAAGGTTTGTGATCTTCAACTCATTTAAGGGACAGTCTGATGGCCGAGGGAAGGAAAATCTTATTTTTTTCAGGATGGCATTTTCCTGGAGGGTCCAGGCCTTACAGAAAGGACGAGTCTGCTTTTTTCCCTGGAAAAATGGATTCCTCATTTTAAATCAACCTTTTAAAATGATTTCCCCACACATTCTTCTCTGAAATAACCATGTATTGGCATCGGTCCTTCACCTGAACCTATATTTAGCTCTGTTTGCATTCCCAATTTGAATTTCCCTCATTTTGACTTATCCTGATTTCACAGAAACCCCACTTCTTGTTGCCTTGTCAGAACTTCTGACAAAGTGTCTGCTAGGTTCTTCATACAGAATTGATTTTTTTTCTCCAAATACAACTTCTCTTCAGAAGAGAAGTCCGTCTGTGGTACTTGATAATCAACATTGATATAGTCATTGTAGAATGATTAAAAGAGGAAGTCAAAAAGCCAACTTTCTTTTTCTAAATACCTTCATATTTAGGTCATTTTCTGTATGCTAACTTAAGTCATAAAGAACTCCGTTTTTCATTTTAATTTATTAGTGATTGATAAATTATGTGATAATGATAGAAACATTTTCAGACTTTACTCCTTTGCAGAACTTCTCTGATTGTTCCTGTAATAAATTAGCCCTTAATGTTAACTTGAAATGTGGCTTTCCATTCAGCACCCTTTTACTCTCAAGATTTTCCCCAGGGGAGTAACATCTTAATTATTTTCTTCTTTACTTTTCATGCCTCAAATAACTGCTTTCTTTTGGATTTAGACCCCCTAAATGCCACATCTGAGCATCTTAAACAAAGGCACTTTAGGGCCAAAAATTAAAGAGGGAATATGAGGTCCTTTTTTCTTTATTTTCTTTCAGAAACCACAGGCCATATCATAGCTTATCTTAATTAAGTTGGGGTACATATTAAAAAATTATGGTGGAAACTATTCAGGAACATTGTACAATTTTATAATGACTTTATGTACATAATTATAGAATAGTTTCATTTTCTTAATCCATGCCTTACTATAAAATTTTTGTAGTATGTACTGACACAGTGATACTTTTTGTTCTTTTGCACACATCCGGAAGTTTTAAAATATTAACCCTGAGTTAACAAGCACAAATCTTGGGCTTGTTGAATGCTTGAGCACTTTGGGAGGTCACGAAAAATTTGGACATTATTTAAAGATGTTGATTCTTCCTTCATTCCTCTGATACATGGAGCTGAATTGTGGCCCGTGTTTTGGTCTTAGTCAAAAGGAGCCAGGCGAA